CCTTCGCGAGGCATGGGAGCCGGCCAGGCGGCCGTCATGGTCGGCGATGCCACCAAGGCCCTTGGGTTGGAGGAGTGGTGGTAGTAGTAGTAGTACTAGTAGTAGTACTAGTAGTAGTAGTTGTTGTTGTTGTTGTTGCTGGGGAACTTTTCGACACCGGACTCGGGTGCACACGGCAGCATAAAACATCAACTGGACGTACCTATCCTAGTCAAGGGTTTGGACAGAGCAATGAAGCCTTTAGACCGAATCCAACTTGACCACCACCTGTGAAATTACAAACTGGGTTCCGAAACAGACATACCCTGCAAACCTGATCCTGCAATCTGTTGGGGATTTCAGGTCGTGCTCAAGATTGAGAATGGTCCACACGCTCGCACTTCTCGTCCGCTACAGTGCTTCTGCAGCCATATTCATATTTACCCTATGTCACAGCTGCATTTCAAGACGGGTTAAGATGAAGGATCCATCTCAGGGACCCCGATTCTGCCGACGACAAATTCCGAGACCGAGCTCGCCAGCTTCTGCCATCCGAGCCGCAACGATGGCTTGCAGCGCCACCGATCCGCCGAGCAGCATCAAGTTCAGCACACCTCGCAAGAGCAACCAGCCTAGGGCCATGTACGCTGCTCTGGTGGAAAACAGGGCCAGTCTAAGTTGAAGCCAACATCAGTCAGCTTGCTGCCGCTGCCGATGCTGAAGGAAGATCTGTTGCTGCATCTTTCCGTGGAAGCTAGCACAAAAAAGTTACGAACACGACGAAGGTGGCAGCAGCAGGTTCTCGGGCGACGGCAGCGGCGGCGGACAAGAATAACCAAAAGAGCAACAATTCCAACAGACTGAGTGCTGCCCCTACCCTGTAACACTCGATATTGGGGGTCATATTCAAGGCTGTACGTGGTTATATCATAAGTATTCTACAGCTGCTGCTACAGTGCTACAGAGTGGCGGCAGTACCAGATCAATAGAAGCACAACAGCATAGCAAACTGGGCACCTGCGGCTTTCAGCCACCACCACATGGATTCCCAAGTGATGTTCTCCGCCACCTCCTCTTCACGAAGCAGCATGCCTGCCAAGGCCACCGTCTCAGATATCAGCCTCTTACATTAAACTACGAAGGACATACTACATACGACTATACTACTGACCACAACCACAACAACTACTACCACCCCACCTCTACTACTACTACTACTACTACTACTACTACTACTACTACTTGCTACTTCCGGCATTAGTAATAGTGCTGCTACCAATAACTCCGGCTAGTACTCCTGCTCAGTCTCCTGCTCCTACCGCTGCTGCGACGTGCCATGCTATTGCCGCTGTCACTGCCACTGCCGCTGCTACTGAAACAATAGTGCCACTGCAACAACAATGGTACTAAGTTTTTGAATGCATGACATCTTCTGTGACAGGCGCACCTCCCTCATCGTTGGCCTGCTTTGCAAGCATCACACTCTGGTTGACATCGCTGACACCGGCCGAGTTTGCCTGCACCAGACAATGCCATGCGGACCGTTCACACTGCAATTGCTTGTTTACGGAAGTGGAAGCCCGTGATCGGCGATCGCTTCTGGAGGAGAACAGTATGGGTCCTGGTCCTCATGAGGGGCTGCACCCAAGCGGAAGCTGGCTTCTCTGCTAAACGCATGCAATGAAGAGTTCCAGAAAGAGCGAAAGACACTTTGCAATCCACTGTCACAGGTGTTGCTTGAAACGTTCTGCGTGCTGTTTGCTGCACGCGCTGCACATGCAGAAACACGAAACAGCTTTACTGCCAACACCGAGTTCGATGGGTGATGGATACGTTTGACGAGTAATATAGGGGCCTCAATGATTAGAATAGGGTTGCGGGGCCCTTTATAGAATAGTGATAATAGGGAACCCGCAAAAGAAGAGAGGTAATTATTCAGGCCCCTATAGTACCTGAAACCATCCCAGGCCTTGGGCGAATCGGCGCCGTCGTCGACTTGCTCCTGCCTGGATGTTGAGTGAAGGTAATCTAACTGCTAGTGCTTGGCTGACAAGCCCCCACCCAGTCCTCACAAAACATTTAGGGTTCAGGGTTTAGGGTTTATCTCAAGACTCCAGACAGACAAGACTAGACAAGCGCTAAGACAAGGCTGGCTGACACAAACGCCTGATGAGTAGACTAGTCAGCCTCCCTCACTCGAAAGCATCACCACGTGGGTCCGATAGCTCCTAGAGGCCTCGAAGAGCGGTGAGGTAATATCGGGGCCATGTTCAGCCAGCAAAATGAACTACACTAGCCATTTACAATTGTCGTAAGTCCTACTAAAGAAACCCTACTTTCTTGCCGGGTTCGGGCTTGAAGCCAACGAGAGCATGCACATGCAGAATCCAAAGCCATGAACCAACTCTGAACTAGCAAGAACTCCGAATCCTCACCGTCGGCACCCTCGCCCAAGCTTAGCAAAGCAGCTGGATGCGTTTGAAGGCCTCTGTCTCCTCAGTTTCATGGCTCACAGACTCTTACTTGTCCAGGATCTTATAGGAACTCAAAGTTCGCCTCTGGGATTATATAGAGATTATAACACCCTAAAGCGGTTGAAAGCTACCTACTCTAAGAAGCCGTCTTTGATCAGGATGTCGACTCTTACTGCCGTAGCAGTGGACAGGTCTCTGTAGCCACGATTATGGCGACTGTCATCAGTATGGAGAGTCAAGCCCTACACCATGATCCCTATGCCGAAACTGCTCTTGAAGCTTCTGATGCTTTGTAGCAGCTTGACGACGTCTTGGAGCAGAGCAGATTTCACATGCTTGAGACACTATATTTGACGCACAGCTGTCCACAAATTTTAAGAGTGCTGTAGGACTTCAAGCTGCCAATCGAAAAGTTGTGGGGGCTTGTGGCTGAATTCAGATCTTCAAAGCCTGTCGTGGCCCGCACGAGTATGCACCCGCTAGCAACAAGTCCTGACGATACAGAGATTTCGAGCTGTCTGGGCCTGGCACTTAGACATGCACATCTGTTGCGCGAAAACCCCACCACATGTTGCCAATCAGCGCCTAGACAGGCACAAAACCTGTATCCTAAACCTCTATACCCTGATCCTCCTATGATCGGAGCCGGGCCACCATCACCTCTGCTGGTGCTCCAGTCTCTACGACGCAGCCGTCTTCCTTGCAGGCTTCCCAGAGAGCCCAAAACCACTTGACTCAGGAATGCTCCTGAATCATCACAGACTGCTCAGCCCCGAAAGTAAGGGTTTTCTCAGTTTTCTCTGGGTTCTTGCGATTTGGGGGTTTCCGAAAATAGGGGACCCTAATATAGTACCCTAAATAGTAGGTTCCTCATTATAAGGACCCCAAAATAAGGTACCCCTGGTTTTCGGAAACTCCCATTTGACTTGCGGAAATGACCGGTGGACTTAGGAGGCATGTTGCAGTTTGGTCTGCTTTGGTTCTACCCTTCCTTTGTTGTCCTGTGTGTAACGGTGGCTACAGCCTGCGCACTAAGTCTCGCCTACCCATAGGCCCTACAGTAGTTCCTTTTTGGGGTTCATATATAGAATCGTATAAGGTAACCCCAAAAAGGAACTATTAAGGGGCCTATGGGTAGACAGCCCAATACCTCTTACTCAAGGAACATCCTTGACACGCAACGTTCAGGCCCAACCCAAGACCATACCGACAATACCCGTCGGCTGTGCCCCTTTTGCCTACAGCCCCAGCTTCGAATACATACGACTGCATACCTTGGGAAAAAGGCTCTTGTTCAAGACCGTAGTTCAAGCGGTCATAGATTAAGCGAATGCAGCATGGAAATGCTTTTCTCACCGTGGTAGCTTGTAGCACATACCCCTTAAACAACAGCTCATCATGAACAGGCACAGGCTGAACTCTATGTTCTTCATTCACGCTCCTCTTTCCCTCTCTCTCTGTCTCCCTCGCTCTCAAACCTGAACCCCGAAAGACCTACACGCACTCTTCCGACGGTCAAAAAACACATGAATCAATGCAAGGTTCCAGGAGAATAATCCGGTCAAAGTGCTGCAAACGCGCGCGATCAGGCCTTGTGTTCGTCATCGTCGGTTTATCATCGTCGAGCTTGGGGCCCAAGATCCCAAAACTTGAACCCTAAGACACTAAGACCCTCGGCCCACGTTTAAGCTTGGTGAAAACGGCCTGGAACTCCTACCCAAACCAAAAGACTGGAAGCAGGAACCACAGGAGAGCCCGAAACCTCATAAGTTCAAGCCACCCCGGGAGCAGTTCTGCTTATTGAAAACCACTTCAATCCGGTTCATTCTCTTGTCCCAAGCCCTAAACTCCCAAAGTCGATGCTCCTAAACCCTACCTGGACCCCAAGGAACCTTCCTTAGTAATTATGAATTCTGTATGGACCCCAAGGAACCTACCTTTTCAGGGTTCCTTAGTAGTTATGAATTCTGTATGGACCCCAAGGAACCTACCTTTTTAGGGTTCCTTAGTAATTATGAATTCTGTATATAAGTCCTTAAAAAGGTAGGTTAGTTGGGATTATGGTAACCCCTAAGCGTTGAAGCCATTCTGGCCGCACTTCACCCTGCAGTTCAGTAGGGCCTCCGGGCATACCGGCTGGGTTCTGAAATGAAGGAACTCTAAACCCGAAACCCTTAAACCATGTAATGTAGGGGCCTTAATTGTTAGAATAGGGTTTTGGGGTCCTGTATAGTGTAAGTATGATATCAATTCCGAAAACTGAATCTTAACCCCAAAACTCCAAGCCCATAACTAAGTTTATGACCCTAAACCTGCAACTCTAAACTTGAAACCCATAACCCTGTAAGCCCTTACCCCTGATGTAGGCGTGCAAACTGGCTCACAAACATAGGCACCGCCAAGCGACTGTGTGATCACCAGGCGCGTCCTCGGATGCAAGTAGGGTTCAGGTCTAGGGTGTAGGCGCTCAAGCTTCCGTGCCAATGGCGCGTAGGTGTACTCACAAAACGAACCCATCTTTATAGGGTCTCTCAGGCCCCCAATTACCTTCAAACAAAAGCTTAGGCCGCTTATGATGTTTACTTTGAGGTCTACTCCTTCATTGATGGGTTTGGGACTTTCTGTGGAGTCGTAGAGTGCCAAGCCCTAAGTACTAAGGGTTCAATATCCATGTGCTTCAAACAGTGCCTTACGGACGAAACGTACCCGAAAAAGGTTTTCTTGTTCTATTGCGATCTCTACATATATATATATATCTGTAGAGAGAGAGAGAGGTTCGTGGTACTAAGGGACAGGCCCCTAAAGTCAATGGTCTTTGAGTCTTTGAGTCCTTACGGTGCGGCTTGAGGGCCCCCAGTACTATAGTCTGAACCCTAAACCCTGAACCCTAAAGATATTGGGACGAAACACTACCTTTAGCTCACTGGCCCTCTTAGAGAGCTGAGCCGTGATACGGTCGATGGTAGAAATCCTGCATTACTCATAATACGGAATGTACCATAGGTAAGCGTCCTTAGTACGGGATATACCATAATTCCCATAAAAACAGGGTCCTTTATTAAAAAAATACACCATTGTTCCCATAGTTTAGGGTCCTTGCGGTAATGCAGGATTTATATCATCAGCAGTACAACCTACCCTCGGTTTCGACTCCCGCGGCTCGCACAAGGCAGGCAAGGATCCACACTCCCTCAGGACAGCCAGCCAAAGTACAGTACCAACCATACACTCGGCTTAGGGATTGTTTAGGGCTGGCGGTTCATGCTTACAGTTTCAGGACTTAGATTGAAACCTAAACCCTCAACTCCCGAACCCTGCCAGCAGCCCAAAGCCGGATCCTTGCACCACGGCCTTTCGTGTTCACCCAACTCTAAAACCCCTGAACCCTAAACCCCTAAACCCCCGAACCCTGAACTCTAACAATCCTTTTTTTGAACCCAGGCTCTTTGCTATCAGCTGGACTCTAGAAATCCCTAAACCCTAAACCCTATAATCCCTAAAAGAGCTCAACTCAAAGCCCTGAACCCTAAACCCTATATAATCCCTAAAAGCTCTCATCTCAAACACCTGGCAGCTGCAGGCCAGGGACCGGCCTCTCATGACAGGGCCCAGGAGCAGCCTCGGGTTCACGGCTCAGGATGTTTTACGAGAGTTTAGTATTTGTACGTATAAGTGTGCACGTACATATTTATATTTATATATATATATATATACTCTCTATATGTATATACATATTTATCTATTTGCTTATTTCTATATTTATTGATATTTTTTCTGATTTATATGTTAAATTGCTGCTTTTCTGGCTTAGGATTTGGGGCCCAGAGCTTTGAGAGCTAGGGCTTGGAGTCTTCGAGGGTTTTGACTAGGTCTTAAGAGATTTAGGTTTGGGGGGGGTTTCGGGATTAAGAGTATGGAGCGCTGTTCGCCTCAGACTAAGCGATTGCTGCACAGGTATGCTGCGCCAAGCGGTGGCAGATGATGCACGAGTGCCGCAGGCAGCTTTGGAACGTGGCGCTTCCCTCTTTACATACTCATGGCTGCAAGGTCCAATGACCATATAGTATAAAGGGCAAAGGGCCCCAAACTTCAGGGGTCCATTCGGAGACAGGATCACGACGTCGTGCAAGAACTCATCTCGAACATGCGTTGGGTGAAAGGGTCGAGGGAGGGTGGGGAGGGGGTAAATTTGGGGGAAGGTTCGCCTAGAATAGATTGGGAAGCCGCATCCCATGTCTGCAGCCGAGAAAACTCGCTGAAGATGTGCTGACCTCGGAGTGCATACAAACGCCCGGTATCTTGGATTTCGGGATTTTGGGGTTAGGACCCGGCCTTGGGTCATGACACTCAAACCCTGCGCCCCAAACCCTAAACCCGACACCTCAAAAGAACCTATGGAATGATATCTTCCTCAGGTTATACCTATCCTAATGGCCTAGAAATTAATTATAAGGAGCACCCTCAACAACTGGACTGAGGAGGGGCTGCAGCGTGCCCGTCTCACCTCCGTGCTTCAGCTCTCGTGGCTGAATGCTCGGTCTTAATCCCTTAACCCCTCAACCCTCTACCGGAAACCACAAAACCCTACACCCTGAATCACTGTAATAGGAGTTCATCAAACTTATAGGTTTCACTTTAGGTCCCAACTACGCTTCTCCCGACCTCCCTACATAATTTTCTTGCTTGCTTGGGCTGCACATGCAAGGGCGCCCGAATCCGTTAATTGTCGTAGCCCCACTTGACACAAACGGAAGTACGTCGGGTTAGGCAACACTTTAGCCTCAGGCGATAGTCATAAGGACTGAACGTTCCTGGCCTGAAGCTAGCCTGAGATTTGTGTGAGGGGTGACGGTTTAGGGAGTAGCATAGGGACCTTTTTCTAACCAAAGGCGTGCCAATAAATCCTACTGTAAAGGAGCTAGACGAAGGTACTCGTACTTATGTCTTTCATTCTGACTCCTAAACAAGCCTGAATTCAAGCCCATAGCCAGCTATCAGATAAACAATCTGAAAGACTCAAACGTTCAGAGTAAAGACATGGGGGTTGGGATTTAGGGGGTCGTAACCTACTATCTCCAGACCTTGGGCCTAATATAGGGGCCTAAAGAATTACCAACACTATTCTGGGGTTCCTTACAAGAAATATAGTATAATGGGCGACCAAACCCTATTCTAAATATTAAGGCCCCTATATTACAGGTGAGGGTTGATGCTGAATCAACACTGGTGAGGTTTAGGGTTTAGGGTGTAGGGTTAGAAGGGCAAGGCACCCGTCGGACCATCGACGGAAGCAAAAGGATCATCGATGAGCACGACCTGTGCGGCCTCGCAGGATTGGCTAGGCTCAGAGAACCCAATACACCTTAATTAAGGAATATGCCTTAAACTAATGGGGCCTTAATATTATGAATTAAGGTATATTCCTTAATAAAGGGGTATTGGGTTGCCTGGGGGTTTGGCAGGACAATGGTAGCCAACACAAGTTTGCGACACGAAGCATGCCCCCACGCCAGATGGAGGCTCACAAACTGGTCCTATGCGTGTGGCGAGTCGACACTGGCTAAAATTGGTAAGGAACGACTCCTTGTATTGTATCAAGATACGGACCTTCGAACTATAGAAGGGTCCATGCGCCAGATGAATAGGGAAGGCTGCGTGCACAAGCATGCAGGAAAGCTGCATCAATGCAGGCATCGAGTTCAGGAGGTCATAAAATATGCAGCGATTCGGCAGCATAGTTCAGGTTTCAGAATTCGGGGCCCTCGGGCTCGACGCTTTCGTGACACGATTTCCGCCTCCATGTAGGCAGCTCGCGCCAAGGCCACGCGGGCCCGCTGTCCTGCGCACAGAAACCGTAGACAATAGAGCTTCATGCGCGACGTCCGAGGACAATAACCCATACCACTCTTGGGGATTCATCTGGGAGTTCCAGAGAAGCAAGGGGCCCTAGTATAAAGCCGAGATAGTAGGATGATTACTATGCGGACCCCTAATTCGGAACCCCTGACTTCACATGTTAAGCTCTTGATGGGTGTTTTTCTTGTGGTGGTGGTGGTGGTGGTGGTGGTGGTGGTGGTGGCGGCGGGCGCGGCGGTGGTGGTGGTGCTGGTGCTGGTGCTTCTGAAAGCCTAATACCCCAGGGATCAAGGTAGACGATGTCGGAGCTTCAGAACCAAAATGCCCCAGTCCCTCTACACTCAATCTGTGCGGGCGTAAAGCCATGACAATGTGTGTTCAGGCCAACATCTCGCTATCTAAAGGCGCGGGATCCAGCCAACATCAAGCTTACACGCAGAAAGCTGAACCTCAGCAAATCCCTCAACCCGATTCCTAGAATCAAGGCATTATATAAATTTGTCGTCGAGCTGGGTCTCGCTTTACCCCAAACTGTCACCAGAAGAGGGACCTAGACTCCTCGCCAAAGGTCGCAGGTTGCGGGTTCGAGATATTCAAGCACGTGATGCTGACTGTTTATATTGCCTTTTATAAAATAAAACAAAAATAGTAATAAGAACTGATGAAAATTCTGTAAATCTGTAAATCAACCATCGTCTGGCTCCTCCAGAGAGGCGAATCCCGAAGGAGCCAATCGTCACCTTCGGCGGTCTCATGGACTCAGGCTTACGCGCTGAAGCGCTAAACCCTAAACCCTAAGCACTAAACCCTAAACTACAAACCCAGAACCGACAACCCTTAATCCTCTCCGGTGGGTTTAGGGAATTCGATATTTCTCGGTAGGTTCCGGCTAGGGTGAAGCTCATGGGTTCAACGGTGCCTGTAGTTACGATCTAAGAAATTTTTGATTAATATTACCTATAGGTCGCCAAGTAGTCCCTTGTTGCGGTTACCTGATTCTAGTAAGTAGTAGCCTAGATATGTAAGCGGTTAAACCACAAGAGGGGCACTACAACGGAGACCATAGGTAGGTTTGGGGTGGAATGGACAAGAGGTGTAGGGCCTTCCTTGCTGCCCATAGGGATATGGGGGGTTTCCGGAAATAGGGGACCCTAATATAGTACCCCAAATAGTAGGATCCCTATTATAGGGACCCAAAATAAGGTACCCCCTATTTTCGGAAACCCCCATATTGAAGTCCATCCACCACGTCACTTCGGCCAAGGAGCTTGCATGCAAACCAAGTCTGTTCTAAACTTGCATTGGGTTGGATACCCTAAACCCTAAACTCTAAAAACCTAATCCCTTCGACATTCACCTGCTATAGAACGGCTCCCGGTGCTACACCCCAAAACCCCCACGGTTCAGGGTTTAGGGTTTTTTTGCCTCCTACGTAGCAAGGACGAGCCCGCATTGCAGGGTAATTAATGTCTTGTCTAGGGTTTAGGGTTTAGGGTTTAAGACACCCCAAAACCCCCAGGCCCAGACCTGAATGACTCAAGGCCCTTGTGTTTGAACCCAGACTAGACGCTAAACCTTAGACCCCTAAAGGCCCTTTCCCTAAACCTAAATCCGAAAACGTTAAACCCCATGAAGCCCAGACTCGAACGGCCCTAAATGCCAGCCTTTAAATGCAGAAGCTGCTGGAGTACCCGAAGTCCGAAACCCCTGAAATCCCCTGAAACTAGTTCAGGTGTGTCCCAAGACCCTAAAACCTGAACCCTAAACCCTGAACGAGACCCTAAACTCCCGGATGCAGGTTTGCATCTCAATTGCTGAAGTCTGGGTGGGGGGGGAGGGGGTACCCTGAACGGATGCATCGTTTTTGTCCAGTGCCTGGTTCGGAATTTCAGAACGGGAGCTTGGGAATTGGATGGATTTGGGTCTGGAGTCTACCTCATGTACTGCTATTGAAACAAGGTATGACCCTCAGCAAATGGGTATGCAATCGGAGTTGCAGTAGGTTTCCTGCTTAAAACTTTCGCAGCCTGGGCACCTGGAGCTTTCAGGACTTCCGGTGTGAATTCTGAACCCTAAACCCTAAAC